GCGACAGCGCGCGGCGCGACCGTTCATCCAACCGCAAAACGCGCGGCGCGCGGAAAAGCCCGAACCTCCGTCCGCGCGATCGGCGCAGACGATAATTTCTCAATCGGCCTGGCACGCCGCCTCGCGCTGATACTGGGGCTCGCACAGCTCCTGGCGCGCTGGGCTGCGCTGCCGACGATGCCCTTGTCGCAGCGGGGCCTTCCGGTCCGCGCCGCGGTCATAGCCGAGACCCCGTTGCGCGCGGAGGGCGCGCCCCCCTGTCGCGACTGCCGGCGCTGGCGCTCGCGGCCTGCTAGGGCCCGCCGCGTATGCCGCGAGTGCGTGCGCTGCTCGGTACATTGCCTCCCCTTCTATCAGCTGACGCAGAAGACCGCTGCGCGCCTGATGCGAAGAACGCGCGGGCGAAGCGATCGCGGCAACCAGCCATCGCAGCAAAGACTTGCGCGCGAGATCAAAGGTCGCAGTCCGCATGTCATACAGCGCGGGCCAATGACTCTCGGCACCAGCAGTGCTCGCTCAATGCCGAACGACCCCGCCAAGCTCCGCCCAGCGCGCTCGCGCCGATCATGACGAAACCCTCCGGTCGAAGCTGCGCCAGCCACTGCCGCGACACCGACAACTCGCGCCGCGGGCCTCCCTTTTCCGAAATGGCGTGGGTGATGCAAAAATTTCCTGGGCGATCGCGCTTGCCTCCACGTTGGGCTCTGGCCCCGGGGCCAGAAACGCGCCGGGGTGCAGAATGGCGCGCCGCCGATGGAGCAACCCAGCGGCGACGCCCGCGCACGCTGAAGGGCGCAAACAACGCATCGCACTGACAAGGTCGACTCGGCCACTTTGCGCGCGAGCGGATGTGCTTGGGTCGGTTCGATCGGCGCGGAAGAGCGCCCCCGTGCGCCCGCTGGCGGAGGCGGCGGCGGCGGCCGCTCGCGATTTGGACAGGCGTCGCTGGGCGCGGCGAGCACGCCGGTTCGACCTGCGCGCCCTCGCTGTCAGGAGCCAACGTGGAAGGAAGGGAGAGCCGCATAGACATCGGCGCTTGGACTCACGTCTCACAAGGCAGCGCACGAACCGCGAGATTGACAGCGCTGGCGACGGCGCCGCGCTTCCATCGGGCCCAGGCCCGAAACGTTGCCCCGCCCCCTCCTCGACTGCGGGGCTCGCTGGAACATCGGGCACTCTTGCAGCAGAATGCAACAGAAAGCTGTTCGCACTCGCGGCGGGGCCGGGATGGGGACATAGGACGCGGCTGCAAGGCATGATGGGGAAAGGCAAAGGATGCGAGCGGCAACTGGAGGACGCGTCGCCCGACCGATTCTGGACCCCACAGTGGAGGCTCGCGGGGGCTAAGAGTTATACAGATGGTTGTCTGGCTAATACTGAGCGCTCGCGAGGCGCGGGCCCGGTGGAGCTCCCTGGGCCGCGTGCGTGTGCGGGGTGCCGCGACGGTGGGGCGAGCGTTCCGCGTCGCACTGAGCCCTGAGCTCTCTTGCGCCACGAACTCAGCGGGGCCGGGCCCAGGTGTGGGTGACGCTTGCGGGCCACGGCAGGTGCCAAGGCGCCGATGGCCGGCAGTGCCCTGTGTGGGACCTTGGGTCCTCATCCGTCTGAGCCACCAGGCCTGGAGGTGCCGGGGCACGCGACGCCGCGGCAACACGTGGCTTCACATGGGCTTGGCCTATGGCTACGAAACGATCATGTAATAACCGAACCAGCGCGTCGCGCGCCTTCCTCCCCCCCGCCCCTAGACGCGGCGCGAGCTCTGATATTTCCTTTCTGAGAGCGTCAAGGCGAACGGTCTCCGCCTCGATGTCGGACACGTCTTGCCACTCTCGCGCCGATGGGGGGGGGGGGGGGGAACGAAAACGCGCTGCGCTCGGACGGTCGCATCCCTCGAGCCGACGCGCGCAACGAGATGGCGGCGCGCGCGTCACCGCGGCGCGGCCCGCGCGAGGGAGCCGCAACTCAGCCTGTGCGCGCGCCCCTGCGCGAGGCTCGGCTTTCTTTTGCTGTTGCGCGCTCGACTGCGAAGTCTTCGGAGAGGTGCCCGCCCGCGATTTTGCAATGCCGCCAAACCCCCTCGCCGTCATTGCAGTGCCGTTGCGGCGGAGCGCACGCGTCCTGCGCGCTGAGTGCGCGGGGCCGCTCCTCTTGCGAAGCGCCGAGAATCTGGTTCGCCGCGCGCGCAAACTTGGACGCCATGTCTGCGTCGGCTTCAGCCTCGCCGACGAGATGGGCAAGTCGACCGCGGAAGCTTTGCGCGTCTGCAAAGCCCCCCCCCCGACCGCGCAACTCGCGCGCCCCAGGGCGCCGACCCCCCGGGCTGGGCGAGGCGCCGCAACTCGCGGCGCCGAGCGGCTGCTCGTAGAGCCGCCATCTCGCGCTGGCTAACGAGGCGAAGCGCGGGGCGAAAGCAAATCGTGGCGTGCCTGCGCTCCTTGGAAGGCGCGGACGTCTGGCCCGCTGCCGCTCGTATCCTGCCACGCGAGCGAAGGCCGCGCGCGCGCGGCAACGCGGTCGCGTTGGTCTGACCCGCGCGGCGAAATCATATTGCACGCGCACGGCCTCGGCCAGGCCAGTTCGGGCGCTCGCGCAATCCGCTTCGGGGCAGCCCGCGAGCGCCGTCGGGGGCGGACCGCCCACGCCCTGCTCGCAAGAGCCGGCAGCGCGTGCGGCGGCGCCATGGAACTGCCGAGCGCAGCGACGGGCAACACAACGCGCAGGAGACCGGCTGCAGCCCCCCCTCCTCGGACAAGCGCAGGCCTAAAGGCAAAGAAACCTGCCGCAATTCCGCCCCGGGCCGCGCGGGCTGATGGCGTGTGCATGTTTCTGCGTGCGCAGGACGCTTCGCCCATTCGGAGTCGGACCCGCGGCGTAATCGTTGAGCTTCGCCTTAAATGCCAGCGGCCGCCCTGCCTCGCTTGTCAAACGCTTGCGCATCGCATCAGGCACTTGCCCCACAGGTTGCTGCATGCGTCCAACGCGCGCGCGCCTGCGTATGTCTGCGCGCTTCTTGCGGGTGGGCGAACTCGAGGGGGCGGGAATCGACTGGGAGCGGGATCCTGGTTTCCCTGAGCCACCGTCAATGCACTTCGCCCTGCGCCTCAAGAGATTTACTAAGAGCGTGGCCCAGAAAAAAAAAACAGGTTGCGCTGTCGCACTGCACTCTATGCTGGAGTTGCATGCGCCTCGGCAACAATGCACCGCCTCGGCGAGCGGAGAAGATTCGCTTCCCCATCGCTGCAGACCACGGGGTACAAGCTCGACACTGGGCGCTTCGTCCTGGGCGGCGTGCCCCTGTCCAGGATGCGTCGCGATGCGCCCAGACTGCGCCGCGCGCAATGGGCCCCTTAGCACTTGCTAAATTGGGGCCCACAGAGAACACTGCGATGTTCTGGGCCCACGAGCCAAAACCAGACGACAAATCCAACATCCACGGATCACGCGTGAAATTTCGCGGCTTGGCACCGCGCGCGCACGGTCGCCACTTCGCGCGTTTGCGAGCATCCGCGCATAATGCAGCGCTCGACGCAGCGCGCAGCGATGTGAGATCAGGAGGACGATGCTTTCCCCTCCAGGGACGCCAATCATAGAGAAGAGCGTGGATCACACCGCCGCTTTACTGTGGAAAATTGCCAACCTTTTCCTCCGGAGCCCGGGGTCGCCCCCCCCCCCCCCCTCCGAAAATCCCCCCCCCCCCCTGCTGGAACCCCTCCCCCCCCCCCCCCCCCTCCCCCGGCAAAACCCCCCCCCCTCCCCTAACCCCTCCCCCCCCCCCCCCCCCTCCCGCTCGAAAACCGGGGGGGTCACTACCGGTTCGAACCCCTCCCCCCCCCCCCCCCCCTCCGGATCCGGAAACCGGGGGGGGTCACTACCGGTTCGAACCCCACCCCCCCCCCCCCCCCCCCCCCCCCCCCCCCCTACTCACCGCCAGCAAACGACTCCCGGTCCCCACCACCGTCCGCATCACATCCCCCACTGGTGTTCCCAGCACCACTGTCCTCACCACCGCTGTCCCCACTGGTTCCACCACCGCCCCTACTGTCCCCACCAGTGGCCCCACCACTGTCGCACTGTCCCCGCTGTCCCCAGAACTGTTCCCACCACGGTTCCACTCTCCCCACTGTCTCCACGGCCCCAACCACTGCCCGACTATCCCCACTGTCCCCACTGTCCCACTGACTCCTCCGCTGTCCCACTGAGCTGTCCCACTGTTCCCACCACTGTCCCCACTGTCCCCACCACTGTCCCCACTGTACCTCTGTCCCATTGTCCCACCGCCGTCCTCGCCACCGCCTTCACCACTGTCCCCACCACCATTGTACCCTCCACTGTCCCACTGTTTCCACCTCATTCCCATTGTCCCCACACCACTGTCCCCACCACCACCGTCACCACCACTGTCCACTGTCCCCCCCTGTTCCCACCATTGTCCCCACCACTGTCCCCACCACTACCGTCCCCACCACTGTCCCACTGTCCCACTGTCCCCACCACTGTCCCGCTGTCCCCTCACCACTGTCCCCACCAACACCGTCCCCACCACTGTCCGCACCCCCACTCGGTTTTCGAGGGGGGGGGGGAACCGGTAGTGACCCCCCCCGGTTTCCGGATCCGGAGGGGGGGGGGGGGGAGGGGTTCGAACCGGTAGTGACCCCCCCCCTTTTCATGATGAGAGGGGGGGGGGGGGAGGGGTTCGAACCGGTAGTGACCCCCCCCGGTTTTCCGGAGGGGGGGGGGGGGGGGGGGAGGGGTTCGAACCGGTAGTGACCCCCCCCGGTTTTCCGCCAGCAGCGGTAGAACACGCTCTTTCAGATATAGGCAGGCATAGAAAACAAACAGCTGAAGAAAGAGAGAGAGAGAGAGTAAGATACAACGAATCTATATATATATATATATATAGATATGTATATGTATTAAATGTAAAAGGAAAGAGAGAGAGAGAGAGAGAAAAAAAAAAAGAACAAGAAAGAAGGGGAGACAGAGACAGGGAGACGCATAGGTCAAGAGGGATGCCCGCCTGGTTGTCTGGATCCCCCCCTCCTCTGAGTGCACTCCAGCACCTCGACGGGATTCTCGGCCAGACCCAGAAGCGCCCTCTCCCTGAACAGCTCGACGGGCTCGGCCTCGAGATCGGCCTCGCCCTGCACGCTGGGCAGGAACAGCTCGAGCAGAGCGAGGAAGGAGCAAAACACGGCCGAGGGGCCGTCGAGCAGCGCCAGGTCCCAGAGGCGCAGCGCAGCCTCCAGCGGCCACGAGCGCGACCCGACCGTCAAGAAGTGCTCGGAGGCGAGGACTTCCAGGGGCACGTCCACCACCTGCAGTCGGCGAAGGGCCTCTGGCGACAGAGTGCGTGTCGCCAGCTCGCCCAGCACGTTGGCGTCCTGGCGCCAGCCGCTCAGACCAGCGTCGTGGTAGCCCTCACAGCACGACTCCATCAGCGAGCACAGACCCCTGAGTGCCAGGTCCTTCGGGTGCGCGCAAAGATGGACTGGCGATCCATGGATTGGGTGCGCGGTTGCCCAATCCTCGGATCCGGGGAGGTGCCCTCCACAGAATGCGGCAGGTGCCAGCTCGCTCGGCGGCGGAAGTCCGCGGCTTCCCACGGAAACAGGACCCGTCGCTGGCCCACGGCCCCTTGAGCCATAGCTGCGATCGCCTGGGTCCTCGTCAAAGCCCAGGATGATCAGGGTTGCGGCCATGTGGCCCATGCCCTGGCAGTATCCCACCTCCGGGTAGCGCGCCGCGCAGGCGAGGAGCACGCGCCGGAGCGTGTGCCGGGCCGCGTCCCCCAGGGGCCACTGCGGGTGCGTGCGCGGCATGTCGAGCTCGATCTGCGCCGCCGCCGCGCCCGAGGCCTGGCCGCAGAGCTCCTCCACGCGGCCGACGGCGCCGGGCGGGAGCGAGAACCAGCGGGGCCAGAGCGCCAGGCGGTGCTTGAGGGGCATGCCTCCGGCGAGGAGCGGCCGGAGCTCCTCGGCGGACAGCTCCCAGGGCTGCCGCCCAGCCAGCGCGGCGCCCCACCGCAGGTGCATGCCCTCGTCCTCGAAGAACGGCAGCGGCAGCGGCAGGGCCTCCTCGGGGAAGTCCTCCGTGAGCTCCGACAGGTGCGAGGCGTCCGAGAGGTCCGACCGCGTCGACGCGGTGGGGAGCGACGGCGCGGGCGAGCGCTCTCGGCTGGAGCACTCGGCTCCGCTCTTGGAGCTGTGCTGGCGGCGCAGGCTGCCCGCGATCCCGGCGAGCTTGCGCTTCAGCGGCCCAGCGGAGGCCAAGACAGAGGAGCGCTTCTTCGGGGAGCTGGGCCGCATGGTCTGGGAGTCGGGTAGGTGAGCATCGTTGAACCGACCCCTATCCCTACTGGCGTCGCCTTGGCCCCAGTGGCCGACTTGCCTACCTGGGTGGGGATACAGATGCCCATACACACGGGCGATTTCGGAAACCCTGGTCCCAAAAAACGTTTTATCTTTTGGGGGCGTTTGCTTTATCGAAGACGCCCACGGCGAATCACCGCCACCCCCTGCCCTTTTGGAAGCGCCTATGTGACCGAACGTTGAGGCCAGACCTGCCAAGCTATCGGACCATGTGTTCCCCGAATCGGTTTGGAAAGTCTTCGGGGAACACGTGGGCATCTTGAAGGTCATCTTGGCCGTCAGGAGGCAGTTTTGACCCTTTCGGGCCTTCTTGGAGGACGTCTTGGAGGGCTCTTGGGCCGTCTTGGAGGCCATCTTGCGCGTCTTGGAGGCCTCTTGGGCCGTCTTGGGGGCCTCTTGGGGCCGTTTTGGGCCTCTTGGGTGATCTTTGGGGGCACTTGGGCCGTCTCGGGCCGTCGAAGGCCGATCAAAAAGCAAATGCCACGATCCTTTACAAACTCATGGGAAATCAATGATTTGGGCCATTTCGGGCCTTCCTGGAGGGGAAGCCTCTCGGGCCGTTTTGGGCAATCTTAGGGCCATCTTCGGCCGTCTTGGTGGGCTCCTGGCCCGTCTGACGCCGTCGGAGGCCGTTTGAGGGGCCTCTCTGGGCCGACTTGGGGCCCTCTTGGAATGCTCCAGGGCCGTCTTCTTGGGCGTCTTAAAAGCCTCCTGGGCCGTCTTGGGGGCCTCTTGGGGCCTTTGTGGGGGCCTCTTGGGCCGTTCTGGGGTCATCTTGGAGGCCTCCTGGGCGATCTTTGGGTGATTTGTTGGTGCGCTTGGGCCGTCTCGGGCCGTCGGAAGGCCGAAAAGACGCAAATGGAATCCTTCAAAAACCTTCGGATAATCACTGTTTTTGGCCTTTTGTCTGGCCTTCCTGGAGGCGCTCTTGGAGGCCTCTTGGGCCGTCTTGGGCCAACTTCGAGCCAACTTCGGCCATCTTGGTGGGTTCCTGCCCCGTCTGACGCCGTCGGGAGCCGTCTTGGGGGCCTCTCTGAGCCGACTCGGGGTCCTCTTGGGGCGCTTCGGGGCCGTCTTGGAGGCCATCTTGGGCGTCTTGGAGGTCTCTTGGGCCGTCTTGGGGCCGCCTTGGAGGCCTCTTGGGCGGTCGTGGGGCCCTCTTGGAGGCCTCGTGGGCGATCTTGGGGCGATCTTGGCGGCCTCTTGGGCCGTCTTGAGCCGGCGGAATGCCGAGAAGAGGCAAATGCCAAAATCCTTCAAAAACCTACGGGAAATCAATGAGATTGGCCTCTTCGGGCCCTCCTGGAGGAGCTCTTGGAGGCCTCTTGGGCCGTCTTGGGCCATCTTGAGGCTATCTTACGCCATCTTGGGTACATCTTGGGCCGTCTTGGAGGCATCTTGGGGCCATCTTAGCCGTCTCGGAGGCCATCTTGGCCGTCTTGGAAGCATCTTGCAGGCCATCTTGGGTCATCTTGGAGCCATCTGGGGCAGGAAAACCCTCGGCAATCACCTCTGGAAGATCCTGGGCAATCCTTTCGGGTGGCCGGCGGGACGCGCCGAAGCCCCAAGGGGGGTGCCTTCTGGAAAAAGAAAGCCAAAACCAAAACCGAAAGGATTCAGCACGCCAGGCACCCCTGCGATGAATCGACATTTTGGACGCCCGAAATGGGTACCGAAAAAATGGGTACTATGCCCAACAGCAAATGTTGTCCCAAACCAGCAGCGGCCGCCGTTGGGCGGGCGGCCTCCTGTCTCCAATGGACACAAGCCGCGGCGGCGTGGACAGCGGATCTTGTTGAAAATGAACAAGATCCGCTGTTGGGCATAGTACCCATTCTTTCAGTACCCATTTCGGGCGTCCAGAGACATGGCGCGGCGGATTCCCGCCGTCTTCCGCTGGCCTTCCGCCGGCTTCCGTCGGCGGAGGCAGCCCCGTTGCAGTGCCGCCGACCTCCCGCCGCCCCTCCGCCGCCCTTCCGCCGCGGACGAGAGGACAACTCCTGCGATCCTCGAAGGCGAGGTCCTTTTTGGAACGCCCCATGTACACATAGATATCCATGCAACTTCACACATATATGTATATACTATAGGAATACCTGTGAATTACAGACACACACACACGCACACACAGACGCACGCACGCACGCACACACATACACACACGCACACACACACACACGCACACGCACATACACACAAACACACTCTCTCTCTCTCTCTCTCACACACACATATATACACACGCCTGTTCCTTAGAGTCTCGCGGGGCCGGTTCCCACGCGGGAGGGTTTTGGCTGGTGGGGCTGAGGTTCGGCGGCGAGCAAGGGGGGGAAGGGAGAAGGAGAAGGCCTCCTCCTCCTCCTCCACCTCTTCCTTCCCCTCTCGGTGGCGAGCGAGGGGGCGAAGTGAGAAGGAGAAGGCCTCCTCAGAAGGCTCGGAAGTCCCCCAGCTTTCTGTGAAGTGTTCTAAGCCTTCCCCGAAGACAACAGGAATTTCTCAGAAGGCGCCAGTGCTTCTGAGAATTCCCGCCGCCTTCTGAGAGGGCCTTCCCCTTCTCATTTACCCCCCTCGTTCGCCGCTGAGAGGTACTGGCCCAGTGGGGATGGGGATAGGTTAGACGATGCTGAGTGAGGGTGCCGTGGGCAGAATGCTGCACGCGGGATTGCCACGGCTGCGGCGGCGCGGCCTCTCTCACGGACCAATCGTCCACTGATCTCCCGCCTCCGCGAACACATCACTGTGCGCCTTCGCATCCGTAATTTCATCTCCGCTATGCTGCTGTTGATCCTCCTTCTCCTCTTTCTCTTTCTCGTTATCCTTATCCTTCTCTTCGTCACCCTCCTTTCCCTCTTCGTCGTCCTCCTTGGCGCCAGCGCCTTTGGACACCAACAAGGTGCGGAAGCAGAGACCTAGCTCAGACAAGAAGGGAAACGTTGCTGCAGACATTCTTGGGCGCAACAAGCCTCGGGATCTGCCGAACCATAACATGGTCCTACTGGACTGTCGAGAAACTCTATTGAGGCCTTCTTGGGCCGCCTTGAAGGCCTCTCGGGACGCTCGCGAATCCTGCCTCTTTAGAACCTCGTGGGCCCCCTTGCGCTACGCCGGAAAATCTTAGAAACATGTTACGTCAAGGCCGTCTTGACGCCCGTTGACCCCCTCTTGGCGCCATCTTACGCCGTCGTGGAGACCTCTTAGGGTCCCGTGGTCTCCTCGAACAAACACTGTTGGGCCTTGGGAAAACTGGAACAACGCGAGAACCAAAAAAAACATACAGACTACATTCCGCAAAACTGCAACCTAACGAGACTCAAGCACAACAACTACTGACCGATTTCCGCGCAGACTGGAGGCAGATGCAACGAGAGTTTGCAGGAACTGGTGAGGCACAAGACGGCAAAACAACGAAGTACAAGCAATTCCCCAACGGAGACTGGAATCAAACAGAAGTCGAAAAACAAATGCATACAACTTTCTACGGAGACTGGGGGGAAAACACAGCCCCGATCACGAACAAACCACGCTTCCCGTAAAAATTAACAATTGGCTGTGGAAAACAAAAATGCAACCCACTTCGCGCAAACACTGCAACCGAGAACAATCCAACACACACAAACAAACAACTTCTGGTACGCCCACTCCGGCGCACAACGAACACACAGCAACGTGTCATCCGCGCTCGACCCAAAACAGTAACCCAGGCGATAACCAAAGGAGGGCACAAACAACCTTCCACTGAGACTGACCCAAACACAAACCACACCACGCATGCAACTCATGACCCCCAGAGAGCACAAACAACTGCACACCAAACAACATATGAGGACATCTCCCCGCAGATACTGGAATAACGCAACTTTGTGAACAGACTACATGCAATCATCAACGAAATAACAAACCCCGAAACTTTCTGCACAGGCTGGGACTGGGCACAAGCTGAAGCTTCAAAGACTGGGGCCAAGCGCATACTCAACGAACAACCTGCAAATACCCTTCAAAAGCTGGAGCGCACAACAAATATCAGATTGAGGGGGCCGGACGGTCATTCATTGCCCCTGCGTGCGTGGCTAAATGAAGGATTCGTGGTGGGATTTCTGCTTGTTGCGATGTTTTGTTGTTGTGGTGTTGTTGGTGGTGGACTATCACTACATCCCCCCCGTCCGGTGCACATTGTATTTTTACATATTGAAGTGCCCCTCCCAACGCTCGCACCCTGTTTTCAGGGCGCAAACAAACCTACCTGGCTTTTGACCACCCTCGCTTCCAAGAGATACCAAGGGACGCCAAACTACGGCCTGCGCTGGTCAGGCCGCTTGACGAGGAGGCGCGTGGTATGACTTGGTTTTGCCTGAAGCGAAAGCGGGGTAGGTAATTCACGCTTTGAGTTTTTTAAGAAACGAAAATATTCGTCCTCAAATTGCGTTGTTGGCCCCAGAGGTTACAGCAACAACGCCTCCCGCCTGAGATTTCCCAGCAATTTAGCCACGGCCCCCGCTGCCCGCCCGAGACTTCCTCGCACTGTAACCAGGCATCGTGCTCTCGTTTGGGACTTCCGTACAATGTATTCAGGACTCGTTTTCTCTCTCTCTCTCTCTCTTTCTGTCTCCCTCTCGGCGTTCTGGAGACGCGCTTTCGCTGGAGACTTGCTCGAAGTTGACTCAAGAATAACGCCTTTGCGTTGAAATTTCCCGCCATGTACTCAAGCGCCACGCTCCGACGCTCAGGCACCCAGGAGTCGCGCTCACGCTTAGGACTCCCTCACAGACAACTTAGGAATCGGGATCTCGCTGCCCTTCGTGGCCCCGTTGCAACCCTTCGTGGCCCCCTCGTTGCCCTTCGTGGCCCCGTTGCAGGCCCACGTGGCCCCCTTGCTGCCCTTCGTGGCCCCATTGCAACCCTTCGTCGTGGCCCCCTCGCTGCCCTTCGCGGCCCCCTCGCTGCCCTTCGTGGCCCCGTTGCAGCCCTTCGCGGCCCCCTCGCTGCCCTTCGTGGCCCCGTTGCAACCCTTCGTCGTGGCCCCCTCGCTGCCCTTCGTGGCCCCGGTGCAGCCCGTCGTGGCCCCCTCGCTGCCCTTCGTGGTCCCATATGCGTATGCCCTTCGCTGCCCCCGCTCGTTCGCGCCCGTCGTGGCCCCATATGCATGCCCTTCGTGGCCCCGCTGTCGCCCTTCGGGGCCCCCTCGCTGCCTTTCGTGGCCCCGTCGCTGCCCTCAGTGGCCCCGTCCTTGCTCTCCGCGGCCCAATATACTCATGCCCTTCGTGGCCACCGCTCGTTCGCGCACGTCGTGGCCCCACATGCGTGCCCTTCGCAGCCCCGCTGTCGCCCTGTGTGGCCCCCTCGCTGTCCTACGTGGCCCAGTTGCTACCCTCAGTGGCCCCGTCGTTGTCTTCTGTGGCCGCGCATTATCAACCCTTCGTGGCCCCCGCTCGTTCGCGCTCTTCGTGGCCCAATACGCTTTCTCTTCGTGTCCCCGCTGTCGCCCTTCGTGGCCTACTTCGCGCCCTTCGTGGCCCTGCTGTCGTTCTCTCTCTCGCTCTCGCTTTCGCTTGTCGACGTCGTCGTCTTCGTCGTCGCCGTCGTCGTCGTCGACGTCGTCGTCGTCGTGGTCGGTCCCCCTGTCCGTCCCTCTTGGGGTCGGGCTGCCGCCGATCAGCGCTGCCGCTGGCCAGGCCAACAATCCTCGGCCACCCCTCCGCTTGCCGGGGCCCGGCCTGCAGGGAGGAAACATATACCTCCAAACAACTGCGCGATCGAAGACGAAGAGGGCGGGTATCGAGGGTTTGGGAAATACGCGTGAGCGAACAATCGTAAAGTGATTGTCGTTGTTGTTGTTGTTACTGTTGTTGTTGTTTGTTGTCGTCCCACCCGCGACCCACCCACAACCCACCCCGCGACCCACCCGCGACCCACCCTGGGACCCACCCGCGACTCACCCGAGACCCACCCGCGACCCACCCCGCGACCCACCCGCGACCCACCCTGCGACCCATCCGCGACCCGTCCGCGATCCACCCGCGACCCACCCCGCGACCCACCCGCGACCCACCCCGCGACCCGCCCTCAAGTGAGGAAAAACCACCTGGACCCGATTCTTGACGTTTACTAAACAACCCTGGGCGTTGACTAAACAGCCCTGCCCTGTTCGATTCATTCCTTGCGTGCGTTTACTCAACGGCTTCGCTTGTCGGGGTGATTCTTATGGGGTGTATTTTCTGCCCTCTACACCCGGGAAACACGGGCTCCACATCGAGCCGCATCGTCGATGCATCGGCGACGGGGCGCGATCCTCCGACGCCATCCACTCGGACCCCATTTAGGAGGCCCGGAGTAATCTGCTCCTTTTCAAAGGCCGTCACCTACACTCCTTCGACCACTGCTCACGCACGGCGGCCTGGCGACGCCGCGTGTCGGCCTCGCCGGCCAAGGCCTCCAGGGCAGCGGCCGCTTCCTGGCGCACCTCGTAGTCGGCGTCCTCCAGGAGGGCGGTGGCGGCCGCGATGGCCGCTGCGTCCTCCCGCGCCGCAAGAGCTCCTAGGGCCTCCAGGGCGGCGCCGCGCACGCGGGGATCTTCGTCCTCCAGCCTGGCCACCACGGCGCTCAGCGCTGCGGCGTCCCCTCTCTCCGCCCGAGGAAGAAAGGGCCGCACGAGCATCAGCCGCTGGAGCTCCGGGCGGACTCCTGGGATCGGCGCCGGGCCCCTCCTCTGGCGGCGCCCCCGGCGCCGCCCCCGGCGTGCCCCGCGCGCCAGGGGAAGGGGGGGGGACGCAGCTCCAAGAAGTCCGCGCGGACCCTCGCACGCTCATGCTCGCGCCCGCTTTCTTCCTCCATCTGCGACGTCCATCATGGCCCGCACGGCAGTCTGGCGCACTCGGCAGTCCGCGTCTTGCGTCCGCCCAGCGACGCCGCGCACCGCTCCTGCGGAGCCTCGCCTGCCGACCTTCGACAGCGCGTAGACGGCCGTCTCGCGCACACCAGGCTCGGCATGCTCTAGCCGTGATGCCGCCTCAGCTACCACGCCTTCGTCTCCAGGATGCGAGAGTCTCGACAGTGCAAGCGCTGCTGCCTCTCGTGCTTCCAGAAACGGAGATTCCAATCGGGAAGCAACAATCCGTACAGCAGCAGAGTCTCCAATTGCGACGGTCCGTAGCAAGGCCTGCACAGCCGCCTCGCGAACTTTATGATCCTTGCTTTCTATCCTGGCCGCGATGGCAGCAATGGCACGCGTGTCGCCCTGCTCGACAATTCTAGGCAAGGCCACGATCGCTGCCTCGCGCACTGATCCGCCACCGTGCCCCGTGGCAACTTAAGGCGTGATATAATGCCAAATACTGTCTGGTAGGGTTTCTGTAATTCTTCTGAGGGCCCCCCTCCCCTAGCAGAGTTTCGCATGCATTGACACAACCCTATCCTCTGAATAGGAAATAATGAATATGTGCTCCCAAAGTCACGATCCCTGACAACAAACTGTAAATACACTCCCCCCGAGGCCACGATAACTTTTTAGTAAAACAATGGATCCACGCCACCGAGGCCGCAATCCATTGAATCCCTATGGATCCGCACTGCTGAAGCCACGATCTGGCCCCCAAGACTGCCGAAGAGGGCCACAAGAGGACCTCCAGTAGGGCTCGCAGAAGCAAGAATCCTATCATCCCTCATGGTGTTTGCAAGATTTGTGCGTGTTCATCTGTTCGGACTTCCTTCAACTCCAAACGGCCCTGAAGACCTTCAACATGCCCCGATAATCCTCCAAGAGGGCCTCAAGACAGCCCAAGAGAGCTTCTAGACGACCACAAGCTGATCCAAGGGGGCTTCCAGGGGGACCCACGACGGCCTTAGAGAGCCCCTCGGCAGCTCCACCACGGGCGCAAGATGGCCAGGAGGATCCAAGATGACCCAAGAGAGCTCCAAGATGGCCCTGAAGGGCCCCAAGACAACTCAACATGATCAAGGGACCCCCAGACTGCCCCACAGGAGCCCAAGGCAGGCCCAAGACGGCCCAAATGAGCTCCATGAGCGCTCCTCAAGAAGTTAAGACAAATGGTGACGCATGCGACGGCCATCCTCTTCCTCCTTGTCCAGGTCATCATTAGCATCCTTCTACTCCTCATCATCATCCTTGTCACTTGTCCCCATGCTAAGCATAATTCCCATCATCACCATCATCACCACCACAGTCATCATCAACAACAACAACAACATCATCATCATCATCATCATCATCATCATCAGCATCAGCATCAGCATCATCATCATCAACATCGTCATCACCGTCACCATCAACAGCATCAGCATCGCCACCCCATCACCGTCACAATCACCATCACTAGCATCATCATTACCACTACCATTATCATGATCAACATCGTCATTCACCCCATCATCCACGGCCGTCAACATCTTATCATCCTCCTGCTCTTTCTCCTCCACGTCCTCACCGTACGCATTCCCAACACCGACACGACACGGAAGATCATGCCACATGTTACGGCTCTCCCAAATCTCGGGCCACGACGTGTCACACGTTACGGCTTGCTGGCAATCGCCACCTGCGGCGCTTGGCCGACACGCTGGCGGGACGTACCGCAGGCAGCTCGACAATTGTGCGTGCTCCAGCCGTCCCAGCACAGCATCCATGACGAAAGCGTTTCGATTCTCGGTGACACTCGACAGCGCATCCGCTACTGACTCAAGCATGGACTCCTCCTCATGTTCTAAGCGCTCCGCCAAAGCAACTATCACACGCTCGTCGTCCTTCTCCGCAACCCTGGCCACGGTCGTCAGTGCCGCCGCACGCATGGACAAATCCGGGTGTGCCAGCCGCTCCAGCGCAACTGCCATGATGACTGTGTCCCCCGTCTGCGCAATCTCTGACAACGCCTGCATCGCCGCGACCCGGATGTTGCTTGCCTCGTCCTCTAAGCGCGCAACGAGGGCAGCTGTAGCATCCGCGCTTCCAATCTCAACGAGCATTGGCAATGCATAAACAGCAAAAAGCCGGACCTGGGCGATACAGTCCTGCAACCGCGCAGTCACGGCGGCAATGGCGCTGCGATCGCCTCGCTTCGCCGTCTTCGCCACTACGGCCACCGCCCGGCCACGAATCTCCGAGGCCGTGTCGCATGTGCTCGCCACTAGAGCTTCTTGGGCCACTGCGTCACCCCTCGCGATTCTTGCCAGCTTCTCTACAGTATCCAGGCGGACACGCGGGTCATCGCGGGTCAGACGCTGGCGCAACTCGTTTCGCAAGCACACCCGAAGAGCGCCCTTGCACACACGTGCAGAGTGGCATGCAGTCGTCCTGAAACTGATGGCGTCCTTCAGATGCAAGAGTAAACAAATGCGCTGCTGCGCTGTGTTCGGTAAGCTGATTCCGCTCAACATCCTCGCTCAAAGGACCGATACACGCGACCGTGGATTTTTAGGAGCTCTTGAACCAATGAACGCCCTTGAGTGCAAATGGCTGCGGACAAAAGCATCGCGAAACCTGTTGAGGGTGAAGCATGACATCATAGTGTCTGCCAGGGTGGACTCCAACAAAATGCATCGTGGCACCCTGCCTGCTGTTCTGATGCAATCTGGTTGGTGCAGAGCCTGCGGTTCAAGCTCTGACAAGCAGGCCACGTGCCGCCAATTACGCGGCCGACTTCGGAAACACTGAACCAACAAAAACGTCGTCATCTCTTGGGGACGCATCCTTTCCTTCCGCCAGCCCTCCGCCGGCCTTCCGCCGACGGTGGCGACCTCGCTTGACTTCCGCCGACCTTCCGCCGAGGAGGAGCTGCTGACTCCTTCCATCCTCGAAGGCCAGGCCGCGCCCTCCTAGTTCTCCTTCTATTTCTCCTCCCCGTCCTCGTCCTCCTTCTTCTCCTCCTCTCCTCCTCCTCCTCCTCCTCCTCCTCCTCCTCCTCATCATCATCATCATCATCATCATCATCATCATCATCATCATCATCATCATCATCATCATCATCATCATCATCATCATCATCATCATCATCATCATCATCATCATCATCATCATCCGCCTCCTCCTCCTCCCCCTGCTCCTCCTCCTCCTCCTCCTCCTCCTCCTCCTCCTCCTCCTCCTCCTCCTCCATCTCCTCCTCCTCCTCTGGAACGCCTCGCGTGACGAAGGCCCCGTGGTGCACCCTGCGTGGTGCACGCCGCGCTGCGCGCACCCTGCGCGCACGGGGCAGCCACGGGGGCGCCCGCGGGCGAGCACCGCGAGCGCCCTCCCGGCGCACCGCACCGGCCCCGAGGCGCCCGCGAGCGGGCAGAAGGCAGGATCCCAACACGTGCTTGCCGTCGGCGCCGGGGCAGCACCTGACAGAGCTCGGCCGCCGCCGGCGTGCCGACCAGTGGTCTGAAGAAGACTGTGGCCAGCGGCGGAGACGCTGCTCGACCCCTTGCCTCGCCTCGCTTGGCTGGATGGTCGTCGTCCGAGTCGCGCTCACGGGACGAGTGATGGGCGTGCCGACATGTCATGGGGACGCTATGGAAAACCACCCCCTGGGAGGGTTCAACTGAAATCCTCATGGGGCTACGAAACGTGTGAGGGGGGTGCCGACATTGGCACGCGGAAAGCAAAGGCAGGGGGAGGGAGGGGTATGCGCAGAGAAGGGCGTGAGAAGCGAGGCGCTGCGGACGCGAAATGAGGTCGCAACACCACAATCTGGTGCGACAAAAACAAGAAAGCCCGTCTAAGTCGGCCCTAGATGGGTGTACGCTCTGCGGGGAGCGAGGATGAAAGGATGCACAGGATAACAGAATGACGAGTGCGTGGAGACATACGACCCAAAGGCGGATCAATATCTCCTAGAACTCTTCGTGCTCATCACATACCAATCGTGCAAACATATGCGCCCATGAACACATATGCACGCGCATACATCTCGTACACGCAAGCGCGTGTGCTGATAATGCCTGTCTCATTCACCCCTCCAGCATGACTGGTGCGAGGGCCTTGCCAGACTACGTCGGACCTGAAACGGTCTGGCTGATCCCCCCCACCAACAGGTGGGCCACTGGAAACATCCCGAAGAGAGCCGAAACTGCACAGAAGGACCTTCTCAAACTTGATGCTGTCGCCTGAAAAGATCCTAAGCCATGACAACATGTCAGTGGGCGCATCGCCAATCCAGAATGATTTTAGCAACGCCGCCCACCAAAGAAAGAGCGAACTCAGTGTCTATGCTAGTCGGTCGGCTCTCCTGGCGTCGCCCAGGAGACGTCCTACGTGCCCTTCCGAACTGCCCCGCAGCGAGAAAATCTGTGCCACGATTCAATCGTATGTTTCCGAAGAGTGATGGCGGAAAAGCAGTGGAAGGGAGCATGGCGTACTGTGCCAGGTCCTTCCTTAATGCTGCGTGCTGTCCTCAAGCACTGACAACTTCTGGTCGAGTGCAGAGGCCCACCGCAGAGACGACAGAATTCCCAATCCAAGGCTGGCTAGTGTACGCCTACTGGACTTGTGATGCTCCCGTTACTTGTAAGCCTGGCGATATCGTACCACGTGTTATGTTCTTCACGAAGAGAACATACATACCCATGCACACTATATCGTGAATGCAATCCGCCGCTGTGCCTTTGGGTACGTGGCGTTCCCCTTGGACCGCGCGTGTCTGCGAGGTCGAAAAACTGAAAATTGTTACAAGTCTGGCTTCTCTATCCGGCGGAATCCCCCGGCTTCCATGGAATTGCCTTGGCTCTCGGGGGTGTGTCGCGCGAGCCTCTGGGAAGTCCACTTGCTGAAAGACGGTAAACTTGCCACCAGCTTCGGCGAGAAAGAGAATGCGCCAGGCCAGGTAGCCATCCGGACGCTCCCAAGAGGAGCCCAGAAACCCATAGAGGCGCCTGTGGAAACTTCCCAAGGCCCTACAATGACCCCGTGGAAGCCAGAGGGCACGGTGTCGGGACAGGCTCGAGGCCATAGATACTGTTGTGTTTCTCGTATGACGTTATGAGCCGCCGATACACGTGGGCGCACCATACGAAATCTACGCGTGTACAATGCGTATGTACTGCATGACCGCGCAACTATCTGCATCACAGCAAATGTTCGCCAGCGCTAACCACAAAAAATGTGTCCAGCGAAAACTTCAGTGCGAATCGGTAGCTAAGGCGGGCGCGATATCATGGCGACGTCGACAACGGCTGACACGATGATGATAGAAACGATGCGGATGACGACGATGGAAGCGACGATGACGACGGCAACGCTCATGACGGCGCCGATACTGATCGTCCTGGTGACGATGATGGTGTCCTCGCGTCGGTGATGGATGTGTCCGAATGATTTCGACATGCGCGCGCGGCCGACGCGCGCGAATGGCCCTCATGGTATTCCTTGACAAGGATCGTGCCTCCCACCCAGCACGCGCAAGGCAACTAAGGATTTCGACCTGCATGCGCAAGGGGCCCGCTTGCTCGAAGTGGATGAACATCGATCGCGTTGTTTGTTGGCACTCGATTTTAAAATCCGAACGGACCCGCCGGCTGCTAAATGATTTGGCGTGCGCGCGCGACGACGCGCGGTTGTGGACTTTGTCACACTTATGTAGAGAAAGCGTTCTCGGAAACTGATAGTAAATGAGAAACGAATTTGCGCGCATAGTGCCAATTGCAAAATATGGTGGGGGGGATCGACTCCGTTTTTGGCGGGGATGATACAAACTCAGATTGTGAATGATCAGTGGGGCAAAACCAGACATGAATTGCAATTCGTCAGGGAATGTCGATAATCCCGCCCTCGGTTTGATGGTGGGTCCTAGTTATCTTTTGGATGAAAAACTGAATGTGGTGTTAACCCTGCCAAGCTTGAAGATGTCAGCTCCACTGCTCGCGCAATCATCCCGCCAACAGCCGCGACCTGGTTTGCAAAACCCATGCGGCGGCGATTGCGATGAGTGCTTGGCCCTGACTGGCGCAACGCCCACGATGCCACCGATGCTGATCGCGCTGGTGACGATGATGGTGTCCACGTGTCAGTTCTGAAGGAATTTGGAAGGATGTTGATATGCGCGCGCGGCCGACGCGCTCGAGTGGCCCGCATGGTATTGACAAGGGCCAAACCCACAGCACGCGCGCAAGGGCGTTCGAATAATTTCGACCTGCATGCTGCATGCGCGAGGGGCCCGCTTGGTCGCAGTTGATGAACATGTTGCGGCATCAACAGCGTTCTTGATAATACGCAACAGCGCTCGGCGGAGACGTGTCAGACAAATAATGTTGCATCATAGTTGCTACGTGACACTCGATCTTGAAACCCTGACACAACCATCGGTTGTTGAAGTATTTCGGCATGCGCGCGCGACGACACGCGGGCGTGGACTTTGACACGTGTTTGTTGCAATGGGTTCTTGCAAACTTGTGTTTTTGTTGATGAGCGAGTGTGCGGATAGTGTTCTTTGCCAAGGATGGTTGGCGGGGGTCGAACAGGTGTTTGTCTGGGATGAACTGAACCCATATTCAGGCTGAACGATGGGGAAGAATCATATGCAACTTGCACATCCCCTGGGGGTACGAAACCCCCGGGCCCTCAGTCCTTTTTGCAGAAAAGAGAAAAGATGCGGTGCAATATATTCGGGGCGGCGACCGGGTAGCGACGGCGGCTACATAATCGCCGGACCGACAGACAGGCCCAGACGACTGGCGGCGACGAGGCTGCGACGACAGGGCGGCGACGGCGACTACATAGCCGCCAGGGCGGCAGACAGGCCCAGACGACTGGCGGTGACGAAATGGCGACAACGGGGTGGCATCGGCGGCCACATAGCCGCCAGACCGGCAGGCAGGTCCAGTCTCTTAAAAACAAAAAACCTTGGTGCAAGCACTACTTGGGAAAGTTACTACATATGATAACTAGAACCACGCGCGCGCTTCGCGCGCGCTTAGGTTCTAGCTAGGATCGTCACCGTCGTCATCATGAACATCACCATCGCCATCATTCCCCCCGCCAGGGCTAATGTACATCGTTTCTGGATGCTTCTGGCCGGAATACGAAAGGAGTTTCTGTAGTTAGAGTCTCTGGGGGAAGTCGCGGGAATGCCTCTGACAATCCCCCAGCGTGCCCCACGAGATGGCCAGAGGGTGCCCGAACAGAACCCGAGGACGTCGACGACGGCGGCGATGAAGACGGCGGCGATCGCGGCGACGAAGGTAGCGGCGGTTGCCATGGGTTAGTACCCAATCAGAGCTTGCCTCTGTAAGGGTCCTGGCGGATTAAAAGGTTCGATGAACTTCGGCAAGATTCCGGCCCCATGCGGCCGGGCCGGGTGCCCGGGTGCCCGGGTGCCCGGGTGCCCGGTGCCTGGGTGCCTGGGTGCCCGGTGCCCGGGTGCCGAGGTGCCTGGGGGTGCCCTATCGCCCTATAGCCCTGTAGCCCTATAGCCGTCTAGCCCTATGGGACTATAGCCCAATAGCCCTATATCCCTATATCCATCTAGCCCTTTAGCTCTATAGCCCTCTGATCCTATAGCCCTGTAGCCCTATAGCCCCATAGCTCTACAGCCCAACAACCCTATAGCCCAATAGCCGAATAGCCCACATAGCCCTATAGCCCTATGGCCCTAGCCCTATAGCCCTATAGCCCTACAGCCCTATAGCCCTGTAGCCCAATAGCCCTGTAGCCCAAGTCGTTTTCATCCTGAGTCGTTTTCTGACGGTCCCGGGAACCTGCGAGGGGCCCCGGAGGCCGAAAATTAACAAAAACCGCCGTCGTGATTTTTCCAAGACGTCGGAGGTCCAGGTCGTGTTTCCCGCTTCCCCAGACCTCCGACGTCGTAATGTTTGCGACCTCGGGCCCAGGAATCGATTGGGAAAACGCACATGGGAAGGCAAGAAATGACGGACCCACCATTTCGTACCTGTGCCTTGATCAGTGGGACGGGCTTCGCACCGCCGCACATCACAAGACACGCTCGAGCGGATCCAGCCGTGGCGACGTCGGGGACTGCAGAAGGTCGCAAGGACACAGAATGTGAAAGGAAGAGAGAGAAAGAGAGAAAGAGAGGGAGAGAGAGACAGACAGACAGAGAGCGAAGGAGAGAGAGAGAGAGAAAGAGAGATGGAGAGAGAGAGAGAGAAACAACAAAAAACATAGAGAGAGAGGCAGAGAGAGGAAATGGAGAGGAGGCGAGCTTGAGTCAACGAAAGTCGCAGGGAAGGGGGCAGGGGGAAGAAGGCCAGAGAGCGCTGAAGGATACAAATACTGGAACCCTCTTGGGATTTTTTGGGGGGCCTCGTCCGGCCGCTCGCTGGGAGTTTGACGTAGCTTCTCGGGAGCCTCTGAACCTGTCGGGGGCCTCCTGGAAGCAGGTTCGAAGCATTTTGGGGGCCGATTTGGGGCTTCTCGGGGCCTCCTTTGGGCCTCTTGGGGGTCTCCTGGGACCTCTTGAGGGGCCTCCTTGGGGCCTCCTGGCGGCCTCTTGGGGCGGAAGGCTCGAGCTTGCGGTTCGTGGTCCCCCTCTGGGCCCCCTCTTGGGCCCGTCTTGGGGCCCTCTTGGGCCATCTTGGGCGCCTCTTGGGCCGTCTTGGGGCCCTCTTGGGCTGTCCTGGGGCACTCTTGGGAGCTTCTTGGGCCGTCTTGGGGCGGTCTTGGGCGCCTCTTGGGCCGTCCTGTAATGTCGGAAAGCCCAAAAGGCAACTTTGTGAAAAATGTACGTTTTACGAAGGGAATGGGCCAATTTTTGCGTCTAGGGGCCCTCTTGGGACGCATGTTGGAGGCTTCTTGGGGCGTCTTGGGGGGCGTCCTTGGACGTCTGGAGGCCATCTTCAGCATCTCGGAGCCCTCTTGGAGGCCTCTTGGAAGTTTCTTGGGCCGTCTTGGGCGTTTCTGGGGCCGTCTTGTCTGACCGGGGAGGCCTCCAGCAAGCCCCGACGAGCCTCCGGGCCCCCCGGGGTGCACATTTGCGGTCGAGGTCCCGGCCCCGGGCCCCCGGACCCGGTGCGCCGTTATATGTATACATGATCGCCCGCTGTAACTAGTGCACACGTACTTCAACCTCATATCCGATCTCATGTAATGATGCACCGCTTTGTAATATTTCGTCCCGTTCGTCTGCTTCTTTCTCGCCCTTCTCCATTCACTATGTTTGGCAAGGCCGAGGCGCTCGCAGAATCAGCTGGAGCATAGCGCGTCCACCACGCGGTCTACTCGTCCCGCATACTTGCGAAGTAAGGCTCGGTTCTTGTCCGCGTCTGTGAACCTGGCACAATTCGCAGGGGTGGAATCAACGCTGCTGTTTCATCCAGTCTTATCTTTCGTACCTTCCCGATGTTCTCAACTTTCCAAAGCTGCTACGGTTTAGCACATCTCAAATCATGCTTGGGCGTGCAATGATCCTTCACTCCTGCATGTGCGAGCGATCCTTGGAGCGCCGATTGATGAGTTCGGCCCAAGTTTTTTTGACATATTGTTTGTCAGGGCGAGAATTACAAGCACCAGAGCTGAGTGAAGGTCCTGGTGGAGTCAGCGCTGGTCATGGCAGCCATCCTCATCCTTGCGCTGCTGCTGCTCCCCTGCGGCATAAGAATGCAAACTCCTGGATACGGACAAGGCCCAGGCAAGACTTGTCCACTTCAAACAGCAATGCAATGCTGGCGGGGTGAACTCAAGATTGCTAGCACATCGCCAGGCAAACAAAGCTGGCTGGAGATAGGTGAAGGGAAGTGCACACGTGTTCAACTGCGCAGCGCGCTCGAGGGAGGGCTCTGCGCCGTGGCCTTGACCCATCGGAGCCCCGTGGGCTTACCAAAGAGTGTGCGAGTGAGGGGAGCGCCCTACATGCAGCCTCCTCCTCCTCCTCCTCCTCCTCCTCCTCCTCCCTCCTCCTCCTCCTCCTCCTCCTCCTCCTCCCCCTCCCCCTCCCCTCCCCCTCCTCCTCCTCTCCTCCTCCTCCTCCTCCTCCTCCTCCTCCTCCTCCTCCTCCTCCTCCTCCTCCTCCTCCTCCTCCTCCTCCTCCCTCCTCCTCCTCCTCCTCCTCCTCCTCCTCCTCCTCCTCCTCCTCCTCCTCCTCCTCCTCCTCCTCCTCCTCCTCAAGGGAGAAAGGTCCCGATGGAAATGGGTCCTGGGCCCCCCCGGGCTCTCCAGGAGCGGCGGCCCTGGAGCACCGGGAGAAAGCCCTGGGAGGAAGAAAAAACTGCCGCAGCAAAAGGCTCACGCTCCCTTGAAAAAAAAGCTCGCGCTACCTACCAGACCACCCCAACCCAACCCGAAGACCCGCATTTCGGGTTGGGGGGGGGATGGGTTCCACACGTGTTTTTTCTATGTTCCCCGACCCCCCCACACTGGAAATGGAGGGCAAATTGAGGCATTCGGGTTGGGTTGGGGTGGTTCGGTGGGTGGTGATTTCCCGCAGGACACCTGCTCCCCCATGGCAACACGCAAAAAAACGCTTCCGAAACTGTGGCTCGAAATGAAGCTGGGGGCCCCGGATCGCAAGCCAGATCGCAGATGCACCAGCGATGCGTAGGCGGGGGGAGAAGTACGGCACCAGATCACACCGTATCTCGGATGTACCAACAATGCGCTGGCGATGCGGTGGAATTGGGATAACGTAGGGTACCCCGACTTCGTTTGGGAGTCCTCGGGGAAAGCGGGGAGGATCAAGGACGCGCTGACCTGAGCCAACCAAGCCGGGGCCAACAACGAAGTAGCTCCCAAACCCAGGTCTGCGGAGGGAGGGAAGGGGGGGGTCGACTCCACGTGGCTCCCAAACCTGGGCCAGGCCAGAGGGGATCAGAAGAGGCCGACCCCGCTGCTGCCCTCCGAATCTGGAGCGATGCATTTACCCTGGCCTGCGTGGGAGTCCTGAGCTTTGTGGGCCCCGGAAACGGCAGGGCCGGTGTTTTCACCGTTTCCACAAAAATATCCCTTAAAAATGGAAACGGCAAAAAAAACGGCGACAGGAAACGGCAAAAAAACGGCTCCAGGATTGGAACCGGAGCCGGAATCGGTCAAACAACGGCGACGGAACCGGTAACACAACGGTGTCGGAACCGGCAACAAAAATGGCAAAACGGAACCGGTAACAAAACGGCCCTGTCGTTTCCAGGACCCACTATAGTGTCCCGAGTGCAGGTGGAAGGACGTGCGGCTGTGGCAGCCGGGAGGAGCCCCATGGCGGCGAGGTCCGGCAGCTTGTCCTCGAACGAGGGGTCCGCGTGGGCCTGCGGGCACGCTTGGGCTGGCCTCGCCTCGACTGGCTTCACGGCGAAGCGTGCTGCTGTCAGAGATCCAGGGGCACGTCCTTCGAGTCTCTGGGCCCTTAGAGGGCCCTGGAAACGACAGGGCCGTTTTTGTTACCGGTTCCGTTCTGCCGTTTTTTGCCGGTTCCGACGCCGCTTGTTTACCGGTTCCGTCGCCGTTTCTTGACCGGTTCCGGCTCGGGCTCCAATCCTGGAGCCGTTTTTTTGCCGTTTCCGGTCGCCGTTTTTTTTTTGCCGTTTCCACTTTGAAGGGACACTTTTTCGGAAACAGCAAAAAACCGCCCTGCCGTTTCCAGGGCCCACAAAGCCAGGGGCACATCCTTCGAGTCTCTGGGCCCACCGAGGGATGCGCCATTTTCGTGGGACTCCCGCTGGTAGGCCAGCCTCCCATTGCACACGACTGCTGGAGTCATTTGATCGGCTGCAAGTGTCGTTCGCGTGAGCTTCGTCCAGGTCTCCTGGTTCCCAAGCGGGGTCATCGGAATTGTCGTATAGGAGTCAAAGGCGACCTCAACACGATCGGCACAAAGTGCGCCCCATGCCGTGGATCGGATCTCCACTGCCATCTTCGAGATTCTTTCTCTCTCTGTGGCTCCAGGTGGAAACTTGCAACGAGCGGTCCCCGCAAACGATCGGGTCTACCAGAGACTGTCTTACGGATTTAGCGGTCGCCCCAACTCTATAACTGCCATATACGTGTTCGCAGTACCCTCTGGCGAACAGAAAATTGTTCCGCCGGCGGCGAGGCAGAGGCAGTCCGATCCAGCGTGAGTCGAATCGAGGCAACCGAAAGGCGAATTGTCTGGCGTGCAAGAGGAGGAAGGAAAGACAAAAGTAAGGAAAGACGACGAGGGCGGCCGAAGGGCGAACAGAAGCACGTAGCAAGGACGAACGAGACGATCATTGCATGGGGAGCCGAACCGGATGACTGCAATGCACAAGAGTTCGCTTACCCTCGCGAATGCTTGTGCAATCAATTCCACACAATTTCGCCTGGATCCTGACTTCGCACTCACATGCCGCGCAGCTGCTCTGTGGCACTCCGCGCAGAAGCCTCATTCCAGAAAACTACACCGCAACGCAAAACTACACCGCTCTCACGGCCCACTCCCTCCTCCTGGAGGTCCGTGGAGGCCTCTGGAGGCCAACGAATAGACGCAAACGCCAACAAACCCACATTCTAGATCAGCAAAGTCCGACTCCCCCTGCTCCTCCTCCTCTTCTCCTCCTCCTCCTCCTCATCCTCTTCTCCTCCTCCTCCTCCTCCTCCTCCTCCTCCTCCTCCTCCTACTCCTCGTCCTCCACCTCATCCACCCCCTCCCTCCTCCTCTCCTCCTCCTCTCCTCCTCCTCCTCCTCCTCCTCCTCCTCCTCCTCCTCCTCCTCTCCTCCTCCTCCTCCTCCTCCTCCTCCTCCTCCTCCTCCTCCTCCTCCTCCTCCTCCTCCTCCTCCTCCTCCTCCTCCTCCTCCCCCCCCCTCCCTCCACCACAGCCGGAGCTCCCCGCATGCCTGGCTTCCTCCAACCCTACCTGTCCAGCGTCGAAGCTATCTGCGCTGTGTCCTTCCCATGCGGGTCGGCGGCGAGCGAGGGGGCGAAGTGGAGAGGGAGAAGGCCCCCTTCGGAAGGCGGCGGGGCTCCTCTAGACGAGCGCGTGCCACTACTCGCGGAGTCGCTACTCGCCAATTGGCCTGGATCCGCCGCGGGGGATCTACGACACATCACCTCGGAGCAGACGTGTGCTTTTCGGGCGCTTGCGAGTCGGCACTTTGCGAGTAGCGGAGCGCGCTCGGCGAGAAGGGAGAAGGAGAAGGCCTCCTGGGAAGGCGGCGGGGCTCCTCCCCTGACCTTCCAGAGGGCTAAAAAATAGCACTCCAGACCTATAGATCTATCTGGACTGCCTCAAACCTCGACAGGGATTAGGACGTCGACGTCCTGGTGCTATTTTTCTGCCCTCCTGGAAGATCAGGGCACTTCCCCCTAGGAGGGCGGCGCAGATCGGGCCGGGCGAAAGGGATAGCAAAGGGAGGGGGGGTGAAAATCAGCTCCCGTGGCTCATTTTCCCGGCGCCTCCCGGCGCCGGGAGGCGCCCATGTATGTCGAGGAAGGGGCCCGGCGGCGGGGCCGAAACCGGCTGCATGCAGCAGGTTTCGTACCCCCCCTGTCCCTATCCCCCCCTCTTTCGTTAGGGAGCCCACAAAGGACATGAACACGGCCCCTTGACCCGCGAGACCGGCCGCGTGATACGCGTATTCGCGCAATGCGAAATCTCGAAAACAGCGTGGATTCATGTACGTGTACGTCCTTCTTTCGCTCCTGATTCTATTGGGCCGAGCAGAGGAGGACGCCGCGGCACGCCCCGCTCCACGCCCAGAGGGCGGCGTTGGTAACTACTGCCCACGGGCGGCCCTGCGGCTACACGGCTCGTGCCGGCGGCACTTCCAGGGCCGAGGGCTCGCAGAGGGGGGGTTGGGAACCAACCCAGCTGGATGCTCACGTTAGGGAGCAACTGCTGGGAGGTCCCCGTCGGAAAGATCAAGGAGGATGAAGCCCCATCGCGGGGCTGTTGCACCAGAGTGGGCTTCGGATGAAGCCGGACTACGCCGGATTATCAGCGGGATGAAGCCGGATTAGGCGGGATTGAGCCGGACCTCGGACCAGGGCAAAATCAGAATCTGGCCTCCCAGGAGTTGCACCCGAACTCACGTGTCCCCTCTCGCTGCCCCCGTGGGGTCGCCGCCGAGCGGGGTCCGCTCAGAGAGTGGTCCTCGGGTGCCTCCCGAGACCCCGCCGTGCCGACCAGCCCCTCTCTGGCTGCGACCGGCCGCGGCGACGAAGGGACCCCCATGGCCGCCTCCCGCTGCCCCCCCGGCCGCGCTCCTGGCGGCTCCGGCCGCCCCCCCCCCATGCTGGGCACGAGATCGCGCGAGGTGGGACGACGGAAGTGACAGACAGACAGAAGCCATACGCCAGCCCGTGGCGCGGCGCCTTTGCAAAGCCATGCGGACACGCCAGAGGCGTGCCGAAGAGGCGCGACGGACGTGAGGGGAAACCAAACGGTACCGATGCCGCTGCTCCACTCCCGGGACCTCTCCTGGGGTGCGTTCGGACCAGGATCTCGAGGCGAACCCCGCGGTGCCGACGAGGGCCTGCCAGGAGGGCGAAACAGGTGAAGACGGGCAGGCAAAGGGTAGCGGTATGGGTACACGTCGTTCATTTCTAATCGTGCTCATCTCTAAGCGTGCTCGTTCCCAATTCTTCCTGGCCCCCTGGTGGCCAGGAAGAGGCCCAGGATGGCACAGTTAGAAACGAGAGGGCCTTAAGCCCCCCCAAAAAATCAAAGAACCTTCGAAGACTTAGAAACGAACAAGGTGCACCTCCCTTCCTCCGCCGAGACACAGCTGTGATCTGCCCGGCGCCTCGGACACCGCAGCCGCGGGCGCCGCGGGCGGCTGCGCCGCGGGCTGCGCCCCGCCGCCGCGCACCTCCTGCGGGCGGGAGGGCGCTGAGCAGCGCGGGGAGGCCGGCGGCAGCAGGGCGGGCCGGCAGCGCGGGGCCAGGGGGGCCGCTCGGGGCCGCCGCCCTGGGAGGCGGCTCCCGCAGGCCCGCTCCTCGAGACCCGATGGAGACAGACTGTGCGGCGGCGCCGGCTCGGCGCGGAAGGCACCTCTGGAAGAGAGGAACTCCGAATGCTGCAACAGTCTGCGACGTGTTTTTGCGTAGTGTTTTGTGCGCAGTGCTATGGCGCAGTGTTTTTCGCGCATGCTGAAATATCTGCGTCGTGTGTGTTGCGTGTAGTGTTTTTGCGTGGTGTGCTTGCGCGCAGTGCTTTTGCGCAGTGTCTTTGCGTAGGTGTTTCTGCGTAGTGTGTTTGCGCACAGTCGGACTTGATTGGACAGGACACGCGAGAGGACACAAGACCCTTCCGAGGGCCACGTTGCCACAGGAAGGCAGGAAGCATGGGTCGCGAGACACAGGACACGAGGGCACCTTGACTTGGCAGGGTCGACCTACTTCATCTGGGCCGACTGTAGTGAGAACCCCGACGTGAGAGCCTCCAGAGGACGCCCGGGCGGCGGGGGAGGCGGAGGGGGGCGGCTCGGCGGCGCGCCCCCTCGGGGGGGGGAAGGGGCGAGGGGGCGGGACCTCTCACAGCACGGGGCTCCGGAAGTCCTCCGGCCTGCCGAGAAGTCTCTCGCGGGAGGCCTGGCAAGGTAGGGGAATCGAGCTCTGTCTACCGGCACTTCCTCCGGCCCTGCATCGGAATTTGCACTGGAGAGCGGATGCTAGTGTATACGGGACCCTGGTGCATGCATTTTTCGTTGTTCCCCCGTGTCATCGGGGAAAAAGTAGGCACCACACCACGCCAGCGTCGTCCTCGACCCTCAAGAAGTTCTGGGATTGAAAAAACAGCCCGCCACTGGTAATGTATACGTTCCGGTTTCCGAAAATAGGCACCAACACCAATTCAGGGGGCAGAGGCCAGATGATCCTAGATGTCGGTGCTAGTGGCATTATTTCGGCCACCTTGGAGGCCAGAAGATTGCCACCATCACCGAGATCGAGATCTTCTTCCCTCGGTGGAGGCACACCGCCGACATTGGTGTTGGTGACTGCCTCCAGGCCTGCGATGCTGGGCCTTCCCCGGAGACGCAGAACGCTCTCAGACGGCGCGAGGGCTCCCGAGAAGCCCCGCCGCCTTCTGGGAAGGCCTGCCCCTTGTCACTTCCCCTCTCTGTGCCCGTTCTCTCAGTACAGTCGGGGCGTTGACCTAAGGAACCCTAAATAAGGAACGAGGCCCCTATTTTGGGCGCCCGAGTTGTCCGGGGTAACTCGGGTCCGGGGTAACTCGGGCTTGGATTCCCGAAAAACGAACCCGAGTTATCCCTGACCCGAATTACCCCTGATGATTTTGGGGCTCTGGACGCCCGAGTTATCCGGGGTAACTCGGGTCCGGGGTAACTCGGGCTTGGATTCCCGAAAAACGAACCCGAGTTATCCCTGACCCGAGTTACCCCCGATGATTCGGGGCTCTGACTATTGTCCATAAATTGAACTTCGTGTGTCATATCGAAACCCTACGGAAAACCCGAGGCAAGCTGCGAAACACTCAAGGAACACCGAGCCCCTCCCCAACGAAAAGGGTTCCTTCTTCAGGGCCCCGGCGGTACCCGTTTCGACCGTGCCGAGTTTAGCAGAACGCCTGCGAGCCTGGCGATCCGGCGCGCCCAACGGGCAACTTCCACAAGAAAGCGCGCAAGGGGCGCCGGATCGGGCTCCTCATCAAGAGCAGTTGCAGGGAGTGCGAACATGATCAATGCCTCAGAACTCAGCCTGCATCATCCCTCTTAAAGTCTCTGAAAGGGATGGTGCGGAGAAATCTTCGCCCAGCCGAATGCAACTGGAGCGTCCCTCCCAAAACCGCCCTGGGGCTCGGGGGCTGAACCCCTGGAGCTCAATATCAAACAATGGCGTGGCAAGTATGAGCAAACCGTGAGATAGAAGAGGTAAGGCACCCGTAGGTGGGTACTGTGCAACTGTGAAGCACCCACGAGGTATCTGAAAAGCTGAACGAGGTCACCACGAGGTATGGGAAACAAAAAAGGTACCGATACCGCTACTCCCCAGATCTCTCTTGGGGTGCGTTCTGACCCGAATCTCGAGGCGAACCCAGCGGTGGCGACGAGGGCCTCCCAGGAGGCCCAAAAAGGGGAAACGAGAGCAGGGCAGCAGTATGGGTACCTTTTCCTCCTCTGAGCTGCGGGGACAGCAAGCGACCACAACCATATAGAGGACACACCCTGATGAATGTCTTCCGCATGCCAGAGACTGTCGGAGCACTGAAACCAGCTTCGTACTGGTCGCGGTCGATGTGGCCTCCAAGGACGGCCAAATTGACCACAACCACAACCAGAGTGCTAATGTCGAGGTCGGTGGGTTCTTCCCACGAGGGGCCTTCATGAAGAATCCACTTAGTCGTGGTTGTCGTTATTTGTAGTGCCCCAGTGAATGGGGCAGCGGCGAGGTCGTCACGAGGTAGCTGTGGAGCAGCGGCGGTGCAGCCATGAAGTCGGGGGGCCTGGCAAGGGCGTGCCTCACCCTTCCCCGCCGTCGATCGGACTTCCATGCGCCCTGCATTTTTCGATGTCGTGCGGTCAGTTCTTCGCAAGGTGATTCAACATGCTCGTCGACGGCTCTCACCGAGGAAACAGTGCACACGTCCGAGCGTGCCAAAATCCTCGCTGGTCGGCCCTGCCGTACCCCTGAGAGGGAGCCAGCCCTCTGCTGCCTTGACTCCTTCGGTGCTGAAGGGTCGCAGGGACACCCAGGTAGATGGGCACAGAGCCCAGCATCCCCACGTTTTCCATGTATGCCCTGGATGTTCGTCTCCTCTCGTCGTATTCCATAGTTTGTTCCATGCGTTCTATGCTCTCCACCTGTTTCCCGTATCTCCTGTAGTTCCATGTGTTTCCGTGCATTTCCAGATGATCCACTCCTCCTGTGTCTCATACTTGCCTGGGCATCGGCGATTGCTTGTGGCTGCATCTGCTTGTCGCCCCACCGCTCGGGCGTCCACTCCCCGTGCGCTTTCTCGGCGTCGCTCGTTCTTGCTCCAAGCGATGGTCAAGATGCTTCGGGGATCTTCTGACCCGGGTCAATCCAGACCCGGGTCAGCAGGAAACCAAAAACTGCAATGCAGGCAGAAAAAACCTGCAACGCAGGTCTTCGCAAACCCGGGTCAGCCAATGTGCGCGGCCGCCGCGCGGCCACGAGCGGCTCCCTAACCCGGGTCAGCCAGAAACGGTCTTCGCAGGATCCTGCAGGATCCGGTGCCCTGGCTGACCCCCGTTTGCATTGACCCCCGTCTCAAGGCTCCCGAATGCTCCTCGGTGGTCCTCGCCGGGGGAGCAAATGCACACGTCTGAGCGATGCCGAGCGTTCCCTTCCGGACCCCTGCGCAGGGCCGGTGCCCCACCGCCCCGGACCTGGCTTGGACGGTCCGGGGCCCTGGACAGCGGCCCCCCAGGAGAACGAGCACGGCGACAGAAAAAAACAGCCTGGACCTCCGTCGGGATGCTGGAAGCCTGGGGAGCATGAGGAGGTGACGAGGAGGAGGAGGAGGAGGAGGAGGAGGAGGAGGAGGAGGAGGAGGAGGAGGAGGAGGGGGAGGAGGAGGAGGGCTCCCCGCTGAGAGAAACAGGGTGGGTGGTACAAAACCGAAGAGACCCACTGACGTCAGCGATTGGTGCGGGGGGGGGCAGCGAACACAGGCTGCCCGAACGCCAACCACCTCCGCAGCCCCACGTGTGCCGGCCGCTTCCCGGCACGAGAGCAGAAGCCGCAGCAACGTCCTCGCGCACCAGCTGGATCGCCCGGGTCGCGGCGTCGTTCGGAGCCATGCCTCCTGCGACCAGCTCGCGGAACCTGGCGGCGACCACCTCCTGCAGCCATCGCCGGTCGCCCCCCGCCCTTCCCCTGCTGCCGCTTCTGTTACCAGCCTGGAGCATATCCCTTCTATCCCTAAGCTGGGCATCGCCTCATCACAATGCCAATCTTAGGGATTCCCGTCGCTTGTCAGGGCGCATCCCTAAGATTGTCATCGCCTTTTGGCGTGTCAATCTTAGGGATAGGCTTATGTTGTTCCCATCCTACTTAAGGACCGCATCCCAGAAATAATTTCGAGCACCCGGAAAAGTGTCAAAAGAGTGTCGAAACACTGTCGGGCGAGTGTCTCCCAGGGCCCGACACGTGAAAACCCTCGCGTTTCGGCACTTCTTCTGGCGCTCGAACTTCTTTCTGGTGATCGAGGCTGAAGTAGGTGGGAGCACCATAATCTTGGGGATTCCCTTCGTCTTTCAGGGCGCAGCCCTGAGATTGTCATCGCCTTTTGGCGTGCCAGTCTTAGGGATACAGTAGGAGCTCGACCACAAGAAACCTTCTACAAGAAACCCAACTCTGAGACCCAGGAAGCCCATTGATTTTTAGTGCGGGAGCGTCACGCACTCCATAGCAAGACGATCGAATCCCAAGAAACCCAGGGCACCCTGGAGGCAAGCAGGGCGCTTCTTGGCATGGGCCTCCACTGTAGGGGGACAAGCTCGAGGCTGGTGATTGTTGGCCAGTGCGCGTGCCCGGCCGCCCTGCCCAGGCGCGGCCGGCGGGCGGCCGGGCGGACCTCCCAACGGTGGGCGCACCTCTGGTCGAAGCGCCCGCCGCGCCCGAGGGCTGCCAAGACTGTCTGCGAGGGAGGCCAGGACGCCGTGGGGGAGCAGCGCCGTCAGGGCAGGTCGAGCCAGACCTCCGCCGCTCTACAGTCGGGGCGTTGACCTTAAGGAACGATGCATCAGGAACGAAGCCCCCTGTTAGTCCCAAGGAATAACGCATAAGGAACGACAAATAATAAGTAAAGCATAAGGAACTGTAAATCACGCATGTAAAATCTAATGAGCGCCCGAGCCCCTTTTGAAAAGTAAGTGTTCCTTACTCAAGCCGCTCTACGCCCTCGATCGTAACCCACTTAGCTCCAAGGAGCCGGGTGTCTGCCCAGGTGTCGTGCAGAGCGGCCCAAGCGACACCTTCCCGAGAGCTGCAAGACTGTCGGGGGGGAGGCCAGAGCGCCGTGGGGAGCAGCGCCGTCAGGGCAGGTCGAGCCAAGCCTCCGCCGCTCTACTAACCAGCCTCGGACGCATCCCTGTCCCTAAGATTAAGAAGCCCATAAGACGACGACAATCTTAGGGATGCGCCCTCAGAAACGGAAGGAGTCCCTAAGATCGGCATCGAGATGAGGCGATGCCACTCATAGGGATAGGGATACGTTCCAGGCTGGTGATCTACGATCTCGATCGTACCCACTCGTTTCCAAGGAGCTGGGTGTTTGCCCATGTGTCGTACAAAGCGGCCCAAGCGACACCTTCCCTCTCCAGCTACGGCGAACAAAAAGGCATCACAACATGACATGCGGCAAACGATACATGAGTGCATGGCCCGCTGACAGCCGAGTGTCCGCGACGAAGTCCGAAGTAGTAGATCGTCTGGACCCGATCGGCGTTTCGAGGCGGCCCTCTCTCTAAGGGTTGCAGATGTTCGGGAACTGAGCGAACAATGTTGGGATACCCAAGAGCAACGTGGTGGATTGGAAAGAATGCCAGCGTATCGAACATATTCCCCAAACAGCGTTTGCAAGCACTTAGAGGTTCTTACTTGTGTCACTAACAATTTGGGTGGGTCCGGCGAGAATTCAAATAATCCGCCGACCCCACTTTAGGAGGTTGAACACAAGGCGTGTGAGATGATTGGCTGTCCCCGTCCCCCTTTCCCCCTCACCTGGGGTCCAACATGCCGTTTGAGGGGGGGGGCCGTGGGGGCGCGAGCTCCCAAACCCAACTCCCAGGGGCCCCAGACCCTGTCCAGAGCCTCAAGACGCCTCACGACGGCCCAAGAGGGCCCAAACGAAACGCCAAGACAGTCCCAGAAAGCGTCGAGATGGCTCAAGGTAGCCCCACGGTGATCCAAGCAAGCTTCGAGACGGCCCACGACGCGCCCAAGACGGCCAAAGAGTGCTCCCAGTGAACCGCCGGGAAGGCCCCTAGAAGCGAAAATCGTTATTCCCTTAAGGAAAACATGCATTTTCATCATACTCGCCGTTTGCGTCTTCAGAGCGTCCAAGTCGGCCCAAGAGGCCCCCAAGATCGTCCCAAATTCGCCCCAAGCCGGCCCAGGAGGGCCCCAAGACGGCCCCATGGACCCCCAAGATGGCCCAGGGGACGCCCAAGAACGGCCTAAGCCGGCCCCTGGGGCTCCCAAGACGGCCCAAGAGAGCCCCAAGAGAGGTCCAAGAAAGGGAATCCGAACTGACATTTCGAGCCTTTCCCCCCAAGATGGCCGTAAGAGCCCCCCACAGGCCTCTCTAACGCCGCCCTCACGAGGCCCCAAGAGCCTTCCGAGAGGCCCCTGAAAAGCCAGCAAGAGGCCCCCTAAGAGGCACCCGAAGTCCCCAGATGCCTCGACACATGCTCCAAGAGGCTGCCGAGAGGGAATGGTAACATTATTCACAACAACCGTAGCAGCAGCATTAGCAGCGGCGCTATCAACATCAACGCGCGGTGGATAATGAGGGGCAATGCATGGCCTACCACGCGCCCGAAGAGGCACAGGCGCTGCGTGCATTGGAATTCAAGCGAGTACGGGCAGCGAGACACACACCTAAACCAATTTACCAAAGAGAAAGCCTTCGCGAGGTAACTTCCAGGGGCCCACGACGCGCCCAAGACGGCCAAAGAGTGCTCCCAGTGAACCGCCGGGAAGGCCCCTAGAAGCGAAAATCGTTATTCCCTTAAGGAAAACATGCATTTTCATCATACTCGCCGTTTGCGTCTTCAGAGCGTCCAAGTCGGCCCAAGAGGCCCCCAAGATCGTCCCAAATTCGCCCCAAGCCGGCCCAGGAGGGCCCCAAGACGGCCCCATGGACCCCCAAGATGGCCCAGGGGACGCCCAAGAACGGCCTAAGCCGGCCCCTGGGGCTCCCAAGACGGCCCAAGAGAGCCCCAAGAGAGGTCCAAGAAAGGGAATCCGAACTGACATTTCGAGCCTTTCCCCCCAAGATGGCCGTAAGAGCCCCCCACAGGCCTCTCTAACGCCGCCCTCACGAGGCCCCAAGAGCCTTCCGAGAGGCCCCTGAAAAGCCAGCAAGAGGCCCCCTAAGAGGCACCCGAAGTCCCCAGATGCCTCGACACATGCTCCAAGAGGCTGCCGAGAGGGAATGGTAACATTATTCACAACAACCGTAGCAGCAGCATTAGCAGCGGCGCTATCAACATCAACGCGCGGTGGATAATGAGGGGCAATGCATGGCCTACCACGCGCCCGAAGAGGCACAGGCGCTGCGTGCATTGGAATTCAAGCGAGTACGGGCAGCGAGACACACACCTAAACCAATTTACCAAAGAGAAAGCCTTCGCGAGGTAACTTCCAGGGGCCCACGACGCGCCCAAGACGGCCAAAGAGTGCTCCCAGTGAACCGCCGGGAAGGCCCCTAGAAGCGAAAATCGTTATTCCCGGGGCCCCTGAACCGCCGGGAAGGCCCCTAGAAGCGAAAATCGTTATTCCCTTAAGGAAAACATGCATTTTCATCATACTCGCCGTTTGCGTCTTCAGAGCGTCCAAGTCGGCCCAAGAGGCCCCCAAGATCGTCCCAAATTCGCCCCAAGCCGGCCCAGGAGGGCCCCAAGACGGCCCCATGGACCCCCAAAATGGCCCAGGGGACGCCCAAGAACGGCCTAAGCCGGCCCCTGGGGCTCCCAAGACGGCCCAAGAGAGCCCCAAGAGAGGTCCAAGAAAGGGAATCCGAACTGACATTTCGAGCCTTTCCCCCCAAGATGGCCGTAAGAGCCCCCCACAGGCCTCTCTAACGCCGCCCTCACGAGGCCCCAAGAGCCTTCCGAGAGGCCCCTGAAAAGCCAGCAAGAGGCCCCCTAAGAGGCACCCGAAGTCCCCAGATGCCTCGACACATGCTCCAAGAGGCTGCCGAGAGGGAATGGTAACATTATTCACAACAACCGTAGCAGCAGCATTAGCAGCGGCGCTATCAACATCAACGCGCGGTGGATAATGAGGGGCAATGCATGGCCTACCACGCGCCCGAAGAGGCACAGGCGCTGCGTGCATTGGAATTCAAGCGAGTACGGGCAGCGAGACACACACCTAAACCAATTTACCAAAGAGAAAGCCTTCGCGAGGTAACTTCCAGGGGCCCACGACGCGCCAAAGACGCCAAAGAGTGCTCCAGTGAACCGCCGGAAGGCCCTTGAAGCGAAAATCGTTATTCCCTTAAGGAAAACATGCATTTTCATCATACTCGCCGTTTGCGTCTTCAGAGCGTCCAAGTCGGCCCAAGAGGCCCCCAAGATCGTCCCAAATTCGCCCCAAGCCGGCCCAGGAGGGCCCCAAGACGGCCCCATGGACCCCCAAATGGCCCAGGGGACGCCCAAGAACGGCCTAAGCCGGCCCCTGGGGCTCCCAAGACGGCCCAAGAGAGCCCCAAGAGAGGTCCAAGAAAGGGAATCCGAACTGACATTTCGAGCCTTTCCCCCCAAGATGGCCGTAAGAGCCCCCACAGGCTCTCTAACGCCGCCCTCAGAGGCCCAAGTGCCTCCGAGAGGCTCCTGAAAAGCCAGCAAGAGGCCCCCTGGAGGCACCCAAGTCCCCTGATGCCCGACAATGCTCCAAGGCTGCCGAGATGGAATGGAAACATTATTCACAACAACGAAGCAGCAGCATTAGCAGCGTCGCTATCAACATCACGCGCGGTGGATAAGAGGGGCAATGCATGCCTACCACGCGCCCGAAGAGGCACAGGCGCTGCGTGCATTGGAATTCAAGCGAGTACGGGCAGCGAGACACACACCTAAACCAATTTACCAAAGAGAAAGCCTTCGCGAGGTAACTTCCAGAGGCCCACGACGCGCCCAAGACGGCCAAAGAGTGCTCCCAGTGAACCGCCGGGAAGGCCCCTAGAAGCGAAAATCGTTATTCCCTTAAGGAAAACATGCATTTTCATCATACTCGCCGTTTGCGTCTTCAGAGCGTCCAAGTCGGCCCAAGAGGCCCCCAAGATCGTCCCAAATTCGCCCCAAGCCGGCCCAGGAGGGCCCCAAGACGGCCCCATGGACCCCCAAGATGGCCCAGGGGACGCCCAAGAACGGCCTAAGCCGGCCCCTGGGGCTCCCAAGACGGCCCAAGAGAGCCTCCTCCTCCTCCTCCAAGAAAGGGAATCCGAACTGACATTTCGAGCCTTTCCCCCCAAGATGGCCGTAAGAGCCCCCCACAGGCCTCTCTAACGCCGCCCTCACGAGGCCCCAAGAGCCTTCCGAGAGGCTCCTGAAAAGCCAGCAAGAGGCCCCCTAAGAGGCACCCGAAGTCCCCAGATGCCTCGACACATGCTCCAAGAGGCTGCCGAGAGGGAATGGTAACATTATTCACAACAACCGTAGCAGCAGCATTAGCAGCGGCGCTATCAACATCAACGCGCGGTGGATAATGAGGGGCAATGCATGGCCTACCACGCGCCCGAAGAGGCACAGGCGCTGCGTGCATTGGAATTCAAGCGAGTACGGGCAGCGAGACACACACCTAAACCAATTTTGCCAAAAGAGGAAAAGCCTCGCAGTAAACTTCCAGAGCACACGACGCGCCCAAACGGCCAAAGAGTGCCTCCCAGTGAACCGCCGGAAGGCCCCATAGAAGCGAAAATTCGTTATTATGCTTAAGAAAACATGCATTTTCATCGATAACTCGCCGTTTGCGTCTTCAGAGCGCCCAAGTCGCCCCAAGAGGCCCCCAAGATCGTCCCAAATATCGCCCAACCGCGGTTGGAGGGCCCAAGACGGCCCCATGGCCCCCCAAGATGCCCAAAAATCCACAAAAAATAAGAACAGGACGCCCAAGAACGCCTAAGCCCGCCCCTGGGGCTCCAAGACGCCCAAGAGAGCCCCAGAGAGGTCCAAGAAAAGGGAATTCCGAACTGACATTCGAGCCTTTCGCCCCAAGATGGCCGTAAGAGCCCCCACATGCCTCTCTAACGCCCGCCTCAACCGAGGCCCCAAGAGCCTTCCGAGAGGCCCCTGAAAAGCCAGCAAGAGGCCCCCTAAGAGGCACCCGAAGTCCCCAGATGCCTCGACACATGCTCCAAGAGGCTGCCGAGAGGGAATGGTAACATTATTCACAACAACCGTAGCAGCAGCATTAGCAGCGGCGCTATCAACATCAACGCGCGGTGGATAATGAGGGGCAATGCATGGCCTACCACGCGCCCGAAGAGGCACAGGCGCTGCGTGCATTGGAATTCAAGCGAGTACGGGCAGCGAGACACACACCTAAACCAATTTACCAAAGAGAAAGCCTTCGCGAGGTAACTTCCAGGGGCCCACGACGCGCCCAAGACGGCCAAAGAGTGCTCCCAGTGAACCGCCGGGAAGGCCCCTAGAAGCGAAAATCGTTATTCCCTTAAGGAAAACATGCATTTTCATCATACTCGCCGTTTGCGTCTTCAGAGCGTCCAAGTCGGCCCAAGAGGCCCCCAAGATCGTCCCAAATTCGCCCCAAGCCGGCCCAGGAGGGCCCCAAGACGGCCCCATGGACCCCCAAAATGGCCCAGGGGACGCCCAAGAACGGCCTAAGCCGGCCCCTGGGGCTCCCAAGACGGCCCAAGAGAGCCCCAAGAGAGGTCCAAGAAAGGGAATCCGAACTGACATTTCGAGCCTTTCCCCCCAAGATGGCCGTAAGAGCCCCCCACAGGCCTCTCTAACGCCGCCCTCACGAGGCCCCAAGAGCCTTCCGAGAGGCCCCTGAAAAGCCAGCAAGAGGCCCCCTAAGAGGCACCCGAAGTCCCCAGATGCCTCGACACATGCTCCAAGAGGCTGCCGAGAGGGAATGGTAACATTATTCACAACAACCGTAGCAGCAGCATTAGCAGCGGCGCTATCAACATCAACGCGCGGTGGATAATGAGGGGCAATGCATGGCCTACCACGCGCCCGAAGAGGCACAGGCGCTGCGTGCATTGGAATTCAAGCGAGTACGGGCAGCGAGACACACACCTAAACCAATTTACCAAAGAGAAAGCCTTCGCGAGGTAACTTCCAGGGGCCTGATATTGCCAACCTGCCTGCGTTCGACGTGCCTCCCCCATGGGAATATCTCTGCGGCCCTCGCTTGGATCCCTCCCATTCAGTGGCACGTGCAGCGGTGGCAGGGCCGAGGGGGTATGAAGGGGGAGCGCTTCTGGTGATGGATGGGTCTTGGCGCTCTTCTTCCACATGTTGAGTTCTAAGATATCGGGATGCTCTTCGTCGGAAGCTTGACAACGGCCAACACTTACCCTACATGCTGCCCTTGCCTTAGTTGTCTGCTCCCTTGGCCCCTTTCACAAATCGGCGGCAATGTCCTTATCCAATGGCGTCGCTTTGGGTGCCGTTGCTGCTGGAGCAGACGCTGGCGCAGGTGCAGCCGCTGAAGCCTTTTCCCCACCGATCTCCCGAACAAGGCAAACACAACATCTCATGCCCGAACTGGCAATTTCACCACACTCGTGTAGCGTGGCACTCGGAATGAATGGGTACTGGACGTTACGTACGTTGCGATCTCGCAGTGCAGCGAATACATATCATGCGCACGCGGTGGGCACATTACGTAAGCTTGCGCTCAAGTCTCTCACGTAACTCGCCGTGGCTTGAAGAATGAACAACCAGCACACACACACACACCTGTACATATATATATATATATATATATATCTATATATATACACACATCACACACACACACACTGTTTGAAGATATCCTTCTAACCGATTCCACGGAGTCAGGCAAGCTGGAGGGGGTCGTCCGAACTTCTTCCAGAATTGTAAGAGAACAGGGCAGCCCCACAGGGCCCCCGTGCACGACACCCGAATCCTGCAGGATAAAACAGTGCTAGGATCGGGATAAATCGCTCCAGAGCGTTCCGGAGCGCTCTCAGAGCGTTCCGGAACGCTCTGGAGCGGCCGCGCGCGGCGCCCAATACATCTTTCAAACCCGCCGATTCTCAGAGATTTCGAGTTATCCAGATCCGATTTTGTCCCGATCTTCGCGTCGTTTTGCAGGATAACCTGCGCTAGCCCAGGTCAGCACGACCCTGGCTCCGCAACCCCGGCGCTGCCGAGGCCCCTGGCCTCCCCGAGGGTGCACCCACGACGCCCGCAGCGCCCGACCCCGACCCTCCCCAGCCCGAGGCGAGGAGCACCGCCTCCTCCTCCTCCTCCTCCTCCTCCTCCTCCTCCTCCTCCTCCTCCTCCTCCTCCTCCCCTTCTCCTCCTCCTCCTCCCCTTCTTCCTCCTCCTCCTCCCCTCCTCCTCCTCATCCTCCTCCTACTGCTCGTCCTCCTCCTCCTCCTCCTCCTCCTCCTCCCCTCTCCACTCCTCCTCCCTCCCCCTCCCTCCTCCTCCTCCTCCTCCTCCTCCCCTTCCCCTCCCGCCTGACCCTGCCCCCCCCCTCCTCCCCTCCGCCTCCTCCTCCTCCTCCTCCTCCTCCTCCTCCTCCTCCTCCGCCATCTCCTCGTCCTCCTCCACCTCCTCCTCCTCCTCCCTCTTTCCCCCCCCTCCCCCTCCTGATCCTCCTCCTTCCCCCTCCTCCTCCTCCTCCTGATCCTCTCTCCACTCACTCCCTCCCTCCTCCTCCTCCTCCTCCTCCTCCTCCTCCTCCTCCTCCACCATTACACAAGATCAATAATACGTAGCACCCAGCAATTGCGGATAAGAGTGAGGGGGCGGGCGCGGGCGACGCGGGCGTCGTCGAGCCGGCGGACCTCGTGGCCCCCACCTTCCCTGTCGATGGCGCTCTCCTCCTCCTCCATCTCCTCCTCCTCCTCCTCCTCGTGTTCCTCCTCCTCCTCTTCCTCGACGTCGTCCTCATCGTCATCGTCATCATCCTCCTCAACCTCTTCTTCCTCGTCCTCCCTCTCCCCCCCCGTCCTTTCATCATCGTCCTCCCATTGTCGTCCTCCCCCTCATCGGCCTCCATCATCGTCGTCCCATGGTCGTCCATCATCATCATCCTCCCCCTCCTCCCCCTCCTCGTCCTCCTCCTCCCCCTCCTCCCCCTCCTCCCCCTCCTCGTCCTCCTGCTCCTCCTCCTTTTCTTTCTCCACATTCTCCTTACATCCTCTCTTCTTCCGCGTCCTCCTCGTCCCCTGTTTACTCCTCCTGCCTCCCCCTCCTTTCCCAAGATAACTGCAACGCAATCCATTTTTCCACTTAATGCTCCCCGACTTCTCTGAACAAGGCAACTCGCCAGGGCAAAGTTGCTGGACGGGCTGGTGTGGATGCACGGGGCTTGAAGAGGTCCTTGCGGGCTCAGACGCGCTTGTGCGGCATTGGTTTGTTCAGTGAACGTGGTTTGGGTCGCGGGTGGGTCGCGGGCTCTCCACCTCCACCTGGAAGGAATGCAAAAGCAGCCCGCCGCAGGCGCCAACAAAAATTGGTATACTGAACGTGGTTTTGGTCGCGGGTGGGCCGCGGGTTCTTCACCGGGAACGAATGCAAAAGATGCCCGCCGCAGGCGCCGAAAAATGTGGTTTGTACCCTGAACGTGGTCGCGGGTGGGCCGCGGGCTCTCCACCTGAAACGAATGCAAAAGATGCCCGCCGCAGGCGCCGAAAAATGTGGTTTGTACCCTGAACGTGGTTGGGTCGCGGGTTGGTCGCGAGTTGGTCACGGGGTGGGTCGCGGGCTCTCCACCTGGAAGGAATGCAAAAAAAACCCGCCGCAGGCGCCGAAAATGGTGGTTTGTACCTTGAACGTGGTTTGGGTCGAAGGTGGGTCGCGGGGTGGGTCGCGGGGTGGGTCGCGGGTGGGTCGCGGGTGGGTCGCGGGTGGGTCGCGGGTGGGTCGTGGGGTGGGTCGCGGGGTGGGTCGCGGGGTGGGTCGCGGGGTGGGTCGCGGGGTGGGTCGCGGGGTGGGTCGCGGGGTGGGTCGCGGGTGGGTCGCGGGTGGGTCGCGGGTGGGTCGCGGGGTGGGTCGCGGGTTGGGTCGCGGGTGGGTCGCGGGGCGGGTTGCGGGTGGGACGACGACAACAAACAACAACAACAACAACAACAACAACAACAACAACAACAACAACAACAACAACAACAACAACAACAACAACAACAACAACAACCATTTTAAGGCTGTGCGCTCTTACTTGCCCGCGAGTCATTCAACACGTATACCCTACACCCTCGATGCCCGCCCTCTTCGTCTTCGATCACACCCCTTTCGGGGGGATTATTTCTCTTTGCTGGGGCCGGCGGGCTTAGACGTACGGGCAAACCGGAACGGGCGGACAATCCTTCGGGGGCGTACATCTCTCTGCCCGCCATTGGAATTGGCGCGGGCCCTGCAAGAGGAGGAG